CGCTTAACCAACTGAGCCACCCAGGCGCCCCTGGGATAGAGATATTCTTTATTAAAGCTTCAAAGAATACAAGTGAAAGGAAATGCTCTCAATACATAACAAAGTCAGTCTCATAGGTACCTATCTACTGGTTAATTTCTTTGCAATAGGAAAATAACTTTAGAATAGATAAATTTTAATAGTCTATATTTATTGGAACCATACCATGTACTCTTCTAAATACTTTTACAAGGATATTTAATTTGTTAAACCCATGAGGTGGACACTTTTATTTACTTCTATTTGCTGAGGAAAGGAGGCTTTGAAAAGTTAAGGAACTTGTCCAAGGTCACATAGATGCCAGTTAGCAGAGCTATGATATGAACTAGAGTATTCTCCATCTAAAGCTTGAAATTGTAACCTGTATGCCCCTCTTCATTCCTGCTAAAAAGGTTCTTAAGTCTGCTTTGCTAGCATAAGTGACTGGGAGATACAGAGAGTTATATATAGTTATATTTGGTAGTGCTTTGACAGGTAATGCAGACTTAGGCAGCAAAGTGGTAGACGTGTTAGTATAAGTAAGTATTGCTATAAGTATAGATTAGTAAAACAAAACAAAACCCCCAAGAATAGTCTTGTTAGGAAGTACCTATTCAGTCAGGTAAGATCAGTAAAAACGGAGAAAGTGAGTCCACATAGTAGCTTTGAATTCTGGTCTTTGGACAGATAAAATATGTTCCCTTTGCTGGCTTCATGTTCAGTGATCTTTGTAGATGAGTAAACGTCTTAAGAGCCACAGTCTCTAAGGTGCTTATAAATTCTCACTGAGGCAGTAGAAAAGGGGAAGTTAGGTCTGAGATTATTTGGCTTAAATTAAAAATAAAACACATTTGTTGTTTACATGGAAAAACTGATAGGATTGTCACATCTAGAGTTAAAACTAGTAGCCTATTTTTAATTTTAAGGCTTCTAAGAAATTCTAGTCGTTTTTACATCAACTGTGGATTATGTCAAAGTTTTCTGTGTTTTAATATTGACATAATCTATGTATTTTAACAGAGCTGTTGACAGATGCTTGACAATCATAATATTGAAAATTAGTTTATTCCATCTGAAAAGCCTTAGAGGAAATTATACTTATTTTGGAAACAAATATATAACTAGTAGTGAATATTGATGAGTTGTTTGCCGGTGGTTATTAGCACTGTCAGGAATGAAGCTTGAATTAACTATATCTTGATAGATGTTAAAATTTTTGAGAGAATGTCCTGCTAGTAATTATTTTTAATGACTGCTGCACCATTAAGAAAGGTTAACTTGTTCCATATAAATCTCCCATAGTGACACAGCCACTATCATTACTGTTCAAAGACTGCTGTAAACCAAGTATGCCATATACTGTGTATGGTAGAAATCGTTTGTTTCACAAGATTGGGTCATTTAGCCATAGAGTTGACCCTAGCTTAATTACCAAGGGGTGGGTGCGGTTGTGAATAGGCCGCTAAGCATTTTCTGCCAATTAAAATGCTGAAACAGTGTAGAAAACTGCCATCTTGCACATGCTTTGAACCGAGTTAATTAGAAAGTTTCCACAGATGAGTGCTTCTTTTAAAAGAATGCATATTCTCCCTAGATAATGAGAAATGGAGTTGATGAATAACAAGCTTGAAGACCTTTAACGTTTTAAGTGACCTAATTTGCAGAAAATAAGTGAAACTTGTTTCAGACA